GTAAGTATACAAATTCACAGTATTTTAAAATGATAATATTCAAAATTTACCAATAAAATATCAGAATAATACTAAAGTCTGAATACTTAGTACTCTTTTTTAAGAATAGCTTCAGGATTTTGATCGTTAAATGGCTCAAAAATATGGGAATGAACGTGTTTTACTTTTACTTGATAATTGTTTAAGTCATAGATTAGAAGGTTTAAACCTTCAATATGTTGAGATTTACTTTTTACTTCCAAACATCACATCAAAAATTCAGCTAATGGATGCTGGGATCATTATGTTTTTTAAAAAAAATATTGTTGTTTTCATATTCAATATGTTAATTTATTTTATTAATTTTTAATTTAAAAATTTATTATTTATCTTTTTTTATATTTAGATAGAATGGATATTTTACAAGCAATTCATTATATTATTCAAAGTTAAAATGATGTTACAACTGAAACAATTTATAATTATTGGTAACATACTAACATTCTCCTGATAATACTAATTTTGATATTACTTATGAAGCTGATGATTTAATACTTGATGAACTTTTTGAGCAACTTGAAAATCTTCATTTTCCTGATATGATGCATGTAAAAGAATTTCTTAATTTTTCTGATGAAAATATTGTTTATGAAATTCTTGATAATGATCAAATTATCATAGAACTTGTAAATATTTTTAAAGAAAGGTTTGATGAAAATATTGATGATTTGAATGAAATAGATGATATATTGAAATAGAAGTTATTAATACTAGAGTAGCATTAAAAAGTTTAAAAACTGTACATAAATTTTTACTTCAACAAGAAAATGCAAATGAATGTATAAAGCTAGTAAATATAGTTGAAAAATTTATTAGGAAAAAACAAACAAATTTTATGCAACAAACTACTATAAATCAATACTTTGATTAATAATTATTTTATTTTTATATAAAATATAATTACAAATAGTAGTTTAATAAATAATATACATATTTCTAATATTAATATTGTATTTTATTATATAAATTTTTTATATTTTTTATAAATGCACTTTCTCTATAAATGCACTCTTATGTCCGGTCCCAAGGGGGTGCATTTATAGAGAGTTGACTGTACTTGGTACCATGTTATCCTTCCTATTTTCGACCCGCCTCTGTGGCATCAAATTCTAAACAACCCTTACATAGTCTGAAGACTCCATCGCCCTTTCGGCCAATTTTCTTTCGATTGTTTAATGTTCTTTCAAGATTTTCCTGTCACTTGATGCCATGCTCATTCCCTCCCCACGCACTAAATCAATGTTTAACCTATCAAAGGCTGGGTCAATCAAGCGATCCCACACGTTTATCTCAAACCAGCCTTCCAATTTTGAAGCGTCAAAGGGATTTTCAATCATTTAATCTTTGGTTGTTTATTTGTTCCATTGCTCGCAAAAATAGTTTAATTGTTGACACTTTCAATGGATGCAGTCGATCGAATGATTTCGGGACTGTTGAATTTCTACCTGCACTAATTAACAATTAAGCTGAAAATGCGTCAGCAAGAAAAATATCCCATGATTTCACTGGATTTTCAGGTATCCTTGATGAAGCCGAAGTAGTTCCGTTATTAGTTGTAATACTAAGCAATCTAGGAATAAGAAGAACTATTCGAAATAGTTCTAGTTCGGTAAGACGATCTAGTAGTAAATTAGTGAAAATCGGTATTAATAATATATTCACGCAGAAACAATGATTATCAAAAAGTAAAGCCATATCGCGTTCATTTGAGTTGGCTAATTTATTACGACTCACTTTTAGTTTGAATTACTGGCAGGTTTGACAATAAGAAGAGTGCAAGATTAAGTATTCGGTATTATTAGTCCGGAGCGTAAGCGAAATATTATATGGGTTGATTGCTAGGAAAATCAGGTTCCAGGAATTTTTTAGCAAAATTGAGATTTTTATTGCATTTTAGTTTTTGATGTTATTAGATTAAAATGTATTAAGCTCTTTATTTTAGTCAAAAATTTCTCGGAACCCGATTTTCCTAGAAACACTCCCATATATGTCTGTGCCCGGTGTCTGTTTATCCGCCCTCTCAAATTTGAGTCGATACGTGTGTGGTTGGTCCCTTTCGTTACACTTGTCTCCGGACTTAACAATGGTTTCCGAAACCGTTCCCTAGTTGGTAAATATGACAAAGACGACAAATAAGACATTTACCAACAGGAGGTGCACATTCTTCTTATTTGTACTCTTGGACTTCTGTAATATATAAAGGAAGATTGTGAGTAAAGATTCATAAGGAAGGTACATAGCCGATTCTCCAGAATCAGCAGATTTTAATCAAAGAATCTAATAGTAAGATGTTTACGTCGTAGAGGAAGTGAGTTAAGGCACGACGGCTGGACGCTCTTCTTCCCCAAGCTCTATGGGTCGGAGCGTAGCATGCTCACTATTCTCGTCAACGCTTCCACATTTTTGAGAACGTGTAAAATCACTAACCTCTAGTTTACGCTTTAATGCCAAGACCTTCTTATTTTCTCTTGTTCCCGGTTCCAGGTTTCTTACCAAAATGTCAAGCTCACCACCAAAATCATTGTATAACTTCCTCTTCAGGATATGCTTCGGAATAGAAGAGTTCGCAAGTATTTATTTCCTACTGCGTGTATGGCCTTTCCCAGTAGTTGGAATGTCGAAGTTTATTTAAAATTTCTTTTGACAACATTGAGAGAGAGAGTGTGTGTGAGAGTGAGAGTGAGTGTGAGTGTGAGTGTGAGTGTGAGTGTGAGTGTGAGTGTGAGTGTGAGTGTGAGTGTGAGTGTGAGAGTGAGAGTGAGAGTGAGAGTGAGAGTGAGAGTGAGAGTGAGAGTGAGGTAGTGAGGTAGCGAAAAAAAAAAATAACACAAAGTAAGTTATAAAGTCATAGCTTATATATAAAAAAAAAATAAAAAAAAAATACTTATATATCTTGACGCGAAAAATAAATTAAACTAAAAATGGGTTGTGCCCGGCTGAAATTACAGTCATGTGATTTTTCCCTGTATTTACTGCGTCATCAAGGGAACAAGAAAACATGTCAAAGCCAATGATAGCAAACCACCCGCAACTCGATTACCTGTGAAATCTCAACGCCGATATACACATACTGGAACCGATTCTCAAATGGAATCATCCTCTAATTTCAAGTTATCACTTATGAAAATCCAAAGTTAATTATCCAATCCGTCTTAGAGCATTTCACATACTTGCAACTTCGAAATAGCTTTAGAGGATATGATAATTATAGTTATATTAAGCAAATGCATGCCTTGCTTGCAATGAAAATCATAGCAATTATGAATAAGTGGTGAATGGCATAATAACGAATATTGTTTTAGTTGTATCTGTTCAAGTAATAAATTCAAGTTCGCGATCATAGCAAAGTCCCGATACTTTTTATCTATATTTACTTATTAATAAAAATTTTTCAGGAAAGTTCTAGAACAAGTTAATAATGTTCAGTAGCTTTTTGGGAAAATCATTTATAATGTCATGAATCTGAATTTCAGATAACTCGAAATCACATGTGCTATAGATAATTGCTTGAATTTTATCTATTCCTATCCCCTTGAATAATATATAAACTTTTTTATAGTTTTAGAAGTGATTTTACACAAATTTATGTCAGTAATGTTAGGAAAAAGAGATTTGATTTCGCTGTATACCAAATGTCCTTGCCAATTGGTTATCAATATTATTTGTAGATTTAACATCTCCAATTTGATTCTTATACATTTATAGTAACAATACTAGCATAATCTTCTTATATCATTACATTAACTATGATTGTATTATAATTTTACTAAGAATTTGGGAATCTGTATATTAAATGTTTATCTGATTCTAAAGGGATCTCTTCACTCTATGAAGCAAATCCCTTACCATCTATATAAACAGATAATTTATATCTCAACTTTATTTTATTTTCTGATTATAGAAAGTTTTCTGATCTATATATACCTACTCATTTGCTATAGAAAACAATCCTATTCATTTTTTTTATATAAGAAAATAGTAGAATGCAAAGAAGTTATGAATTCAATTTTCTTTAAAAAACTACTTTTGATAATAAATCATCTTAAAAGTTTCTTCTTTTATTTCCTTTGCCTGATCTTATTATCTATATATTATATTTATGAATTCATCAGTTTTTTTATTTTCTTCACAAAGTAAAAAACTAGCAGATATAGTTAGCTTTGATAATACTTCTTATACTGTATTATCTGTACCATCAAGCTTATATTACTTAAGCTGATTTATAATTAATTCATATAAGTTAACAGATTCTTTGAAAATTAAATTATTTATTTTTTTAACTAATATCTTTGATATCTCTTCCATTAATATAGTATTAGTATTATTTTTTTGATTTATTATGAAATTGAATATATAAACAACTAATATTAGATTATTTATAGATAATCACATTTTTATTATCAATTTTTTACTATTTTGTAACTATTTATTAGTAATTAATCTTAGAATTTGATTTATTTTAATTGATGAATTAAATGATTTTAAACAAATGAAGAATTAGATATAGTTTATTTATGTCCAATTATTCAATTGAATATTTATTACAATTATATTATGTCTAATTGATTAATAATCAGTTATATTTATAATTAAACTTGGTTTAATTAAGGATCCAATCAAATTTATTTATAATATCTTATAAATTATATAATTTATATTACTTATTATTTGTCAAATAAAATAAAAATAATAAAAAATAATAAATAATAAAAATATAAATATAGTTGTCTTTCTTTATAATCATATCCCTTAGAATTAAAAATAAAAGTATAATTATAATAAAAAGTTACTATACACAGAAATTTTTATATATTATTACTAAGTGTTAATTCTGAAAGGGTATAACTATAAAAACACTATGATTATAAAAGATTTTTATATAGCATTAATAGATATTAGTTCATATAAAATATGTGCTTATAATGAAAGATTTATATAATGTAATTATACAGGAAGTGACTATAGAAAGGAATGACTATATATAAAAAAAGTCTAAAAAGTAGATTTGTTAAAACTCAATTCCTTTAAAAAAATTTTTTTTATTTTTATTAGCATTTGATCACAATTTTAATAACTAATTTTATAAAATTAACTAATAGCTAAAAAATTAATTTAATCGTAATTAAATGCTAATTTTGTTTAATAGTTTAGCATTATTAAAGATGGTTACCGCAATTGAAAAAAATGGCGCAATTGAGTTGCAACTTGTGGCGCAATTAAATTTCCTTATGGCGCAATTAAGTTGCAACTTAATTAAAATTTGAAAATAATTATGGGGACCATCTTTAAGCATTATACATATGATTATTAATTAATAGTTTTATTATAAATGAAAATTAATAAATAAAATTTATATTTTAAATCTTTTATAAATTTTAATATATTATTTTATACATTTTAATTGGTTAAAAAAATTATTGGTAATTGAATTAAGTCTAATTATCTAATTATTTATTTGAATTATTTTTCTTTATTAATCTTATTCTATATTTAATATTTAAATTATCAAAAGTTTATATAAGAAAGAGTTTCATAATTTCTAACTGAAATTTTTGATAAATTTTACATATATTATTATAAGATTAACTTTAAATTATAACTTTAAAATTTCTTTTTAGTTATATTAAAAAGATAAGACCTGAAATTTTTTCTTTATATAAAATTTTAAATTAAAATTTCTTTAATTTTAAGTTTTTTTTTCAAATTGATAAATTTTTTTATATTAAAATTCTTAATAATATTGATATTATTCATATATTTCAATATAAATTAATAAATTACTAATTAAATTATATTTTGACTAACAAATTATATTTTGACAAATATAATTATTTTATTAATAATTTATAATAAATATCAAATTGACATAATTAATTTTAATATACTCAAACTTAATCAATACTAAAATATAATTATTTGAGAAAAACTTTTTTATTAAACTTATAAAAAAAGGTATAGAGATACTTTATAATAAAAAAAGAAGAAACTATTAAAATATTTTTTACTTTATAAACTAAATATTATTTTTTAGTAAAATAAATTCAGATTTAATATTAACTTAAAAATATTTTTGGTAATTTTTTCTCTTTTACTATAAAATACTCATATATATATTTGTGCTTATAAAAAAATTATGCATCTGATTGCAATTATAGATAAAATTAATTTATAAATATAAAAGTATTTTAGTTTTCAAAAAGTATTTAAAGAGAAATAATAGATTTTTTTTTATGCATTAAAATATAGTATAAAATTGTTAGGTAATTATACTATATTATATCATTATATGTGATATTTATTAAAATTTATAATAAGAACATAATATATACTATTGATCAAAAAAACTTTTAATCATATAATAAATTGATCAAATTTAATTAAATTTTGATAAATATCAAAGTTTAACTAAGACTCAACTGACAACTTTGATTAAAATTTTAATAACATTTTAGTAATATTAAAATCATTTAAAATTGACTGATGTTTTATCCTCTTATTTTATAGTCAAATAGTTTAAAATAAATAAAAAATACTAAAATTATAAATAAATTGTCAAATTTTAGTTAAATAAAAATTTTAAAATCATTAAATTTAATTCAAATAAAATGTAAAAAAAAATCTTTTAAACTGTTAAATTATTATAATAAAAAACTTTAACAATATTTAATAAAATTTTAATAAAACTTTAATAAAACTTCATTAAAATTTTAACAAATATAATACTTTTTATTAATTAGATTAATAATTAAATATTACATTATATTTTGTTAACTTAAAGTTTTATTTTATTAGAATAAATTATTCAAAATATGATATATTAGTATTATATAATTATAGTTTACAAAATAAAAGCTAGACTATAATAATTTAACATTATAAGTTTTTTTATCTTCTAAAATAATACCTTGTATTCTTTAAATTTACATAGTAATACCATCAAACATATATTAAATAATACTTTAATATTCTATCAGGTAAATTGACTATAAGTATAAAGAAGTATTAAATTTATTTAAAATAGCAATCAATACTATCTTTAATAATAAATTTATTTGTATAAATAAACTTTTATTAATATATTGATAAAGAAATCTAAAAATTTTTGATTTAATTCAATATCATTTAAATTTATTTCTAATACTAATTATTATTTCTTTTTCTTTGAATATTTTTAAAATTCAAAATTTTCATAAGTTGCATATAATAGATTTATATTAATTATTTCTAATTAAAATATTTATTATAATATATACTAAAGTTATAAATATAAATTTATAATATATAGCATAAAAAAAATATAAATTTTGTTAAAATCAATTTATTATTAAATAATTTTTACTAATAAATAAAAATATTTAAAAATTAAAATTATTAAATCTAAATTTAAATACTATCATAATTTAGCAATTATTACTATAATCTAAAATATTAAATATAATAGTTAGCATAATTTGGTCAAATATTTGTGATTTTATCTAAATCTTTGAAATCTAAATTATTAATATTTATAATAATATATAATTTATTTTTAAATATACAAAAAGTCAATTTAAAAGTAAATTTTTGTTATTTAAAATTTTATTATAATATTTTATATTATATTTTATATAATTTAAAATATCAAAAATAATGATTGATATAGTTTAACTAAGTATTTGTAACTTTATTAAAATTTTTGAAATTTAAAAAAATTAATTTATTATGTAATTTACTTAATTATTTATTTTAGTATTAAACTAACTTATTTATAATATTTAATTTTAATTTACTATTAGAATTATATTAATATAATTTAAAATCTTGAATTTATTATTCAAAAGTACAGTAATATTTTAAACAAATACTAATATAATATTTTGTCATTTAACTCTAATAATTTTAATAATTACAATATCATTAAAAATAAGATAATTAAAAGTGAAAAATATTATAAGTTATATAAAAAGTTAACTTATTAACAGATTATTTTGAAATTTAAAGACTTTTGAATGTATTTTGATTATTATCTGATTTATTATAAGATAATATTCAATAAATGTATCCTAACTATTTACTTGCTTGATAACTTACTTTCTACTATTGTATTATATATAATCAAATATTAAGGTTTACATCAGACTATCAAAAATATTATACAAAATATTATATATTTTATATTAAATATAAGTATTCTTTAATAACTAACATTATTTTTGAAATGATAGATTAATTTCAATGTAAAAAATTTTATGTTATTATTAAAAATATGAATATAAGTAATAAAGAATAGTAATTTGAATAAATTTTTTTATAACTTTAAATTCTTATAAATTAGCAAATATGTAAAGATATTAATAAGTATTTCAATCATTTTAATATATATAAATTTATCTATAATAGGATTTTTAAAATCACTTATTAAAGTGATCTTATTATTACAAATCACAAAATCAATTAAAATAGTAAATAATAAGTTTGATATTATATATTAGATAATTTGATCAGATAAATATATTATTATAGAAAATCTGATAAGATTATTATTATAAAGAAAATTATAAATTTTCAAATTCTATTGAAGAGTTTTTAAATAAAATAAATAACATTATAAATATTTTTTTTTTATAATAATTTTTTAATTAAAATTACTTATTAAAATAAATTAAAATTTAACTTTTTTAAAAAAATATTAGATTAGGACTTAAATCTTAAGATCAGAT